AATATATTTGGAGCCACCGTGTCGTATTGACGACCGTCGGGATCAAATCCTTCGTAATAAGGTTATCCCTTTAGTGCGTGTTTAGTGGAGTCACCACAATGAGGCTGAGTCTACTCGGGAACGGGAGGATATCATTCGCTCGCAGTTTCCTGAAATATTGGAAGAAGGTAAGAGCGAATTTCGAAGACGGGATTCCTTTTGTTAAGGGGGAAGAATGTAATACCCCTAATTTTAAAAGGATAGTCCCGGTATTTAATTAATTTTTTTAATTGCATTTTTCATTTAATTAATTATTTTAATTACATTTTTTATTTAATTAATTATTTTAATTGCATTTTTTATTTGTTTATTTGCTTATTTATTTATTTGCCTGTTTATTTTATTTAAATTGAATAATTGTTTATTTAATTGAATTATTTATGTTATTTAATTTATTTATATGCATTATTTGATTTATTCATTTAAATTAGTTTATCAATTGTTTAATTGTATAGCATATTTTTAGGGTTTTATGTTTATGAGTTCTCGTGGGATAAGGTAGCCGACTTAGTATTAGGTTTAATTAAAGCTTATATATATATATATATATATATATATATATATATATATATATATATATATATACCGTGATAGTCAGACTTAGGTTGAGACGCCTATATATATTTTCTGTTTGTGTCTACAAGGGTTTTAGAACCCTTTCATCGTAACTGGAGGTAGAGAGAAACAAAGAGGGCTTGAGAGGAAAGACAAAGGTCGGTGAAAGCAATTAAGGTCACCGGAGTTACTAAAGCAGACAGTTTAAGGTTTTGAACTGAAACCTAAAGGCAAGTTCCTATTCTAACTCCTTCCCTCAAACTTGTGTTCTGTGCATGCCTAGGTAGTCTCCAAGGTTTTAAATTGATGTTAAAACTGATATTTTAAGCATGTTTGCATTGAATTTAAATGTGTTGAATTAAACTATTTGATGTTGATACATGTTCTTGCTTAAATCTTGATTTGGTTGATTACAAATTTGTTTCAAATTCATGTTGGTGATGCAGGGAGACTTCTTATAATTAATTTTGGGACATAAATTGAACCCTAGGTATTTAAATAAAATAGTACAGAGGCTCTAAATTTCGCCAGAGGTGAAAAAGATGAACAGTTTAAGCATTACGGCTCTCAGAGGGAGAGAGCCGGCTCTTCAAAGGAGGGAGCCGGCTCTAAGGATGAGAGAGCTGGCTCCCACAATGGTGGAGTCGGCTCCACCAAGGGGAGAGCCGGCTCCCTTGTTTTGGGAGGCGGCTCCCTCCTCATTTCTTTGGTTTTTCGTATTTCTGAGTTTGGTTTGGTCAGTAGGGGGCTTTCTAAGTTGTTTCAGTTACTGTGAATGATGTATATACCTGTTACAGACATTTAAAAACTACTGGAAAGCATGTTAATATTAATATGTTGAAGCATGAAACAACATAAGGTTAAACGGTAAACTTGCATGTGGAAGGTTGGTTAATTAATTTAAATTACTTACTGAAATTTTTAGCAATTCATATTTACATGATTTAATACTGTTAATCATGTTGCTGCACTGTAATAAGCATAGTTGAATATTTGAAATACTTATGCTTAAATTGGAGTACTTGATGTTTTAATTTATGTAAACTACATCAATTTATGGACTGTTTGGAGGATTTAAATGCTTAGTTATGTTTTAGCAATTAAAAGGATTTGATCATGATTTTTAGGTCTTATAATGAATGCCTAATATAGTCATATATGTATTAAACTTTATTTATGCATATCTTGGAGTATGGTTGATGAGTACTTATTATAATTTTATCAATTATGTTAGTTGGAGGATTGTATGCACCGGTATGGGATGGTGACATACTAGGGATGTATTAGTTCAAACACTAAGTCCTACCTATTATGGATTGAGATATGGATTAACCATCAAGGTTAAGTCCTACTCATATTGGTGTCAAGTCAATAAATAATTGAATGACATACTTTGGTTCTGGATGGATTTTTATACATATGTCAAACCACTATATCAAATGGATGATATTTTGTATTAGGCTTATACAGACTTTATATATTTATGATTATAGTGCCGTGATATGAGCTTGAGTCTCAGGATTATGGTTAGGATGCGTATATCACCTAGGATGGATAATTGGACATAATTATTGTTCCCTGGTAGGTCTAGGTACACATGACCACGTTATGTGCGATTTGCATGGTATCTCTACTCAGGCTGAGACAGACCTATTAGGCTAGTGAGCGTCATATAGTGTGTATTTATACATATATGGACTACTTTAGTTATTGTTGATCTATCTAGGATGTATCTGCATATTGGGTTTCTGTATGAATTGTAATAGGATAGAACTTGCATGTGGGTCTGACCCACTCTTATATTTTTTTACGTGTTCGTCAGTTCTAGGCTTAGAGCTTAATCGTGCTGGGCAGATACAGTCACTCATTCCTCCAACTACGTAGGACTGCTTTCTTTGTTTAGCTTTGGATTTTTATTTCAGTTGTTTCTGTTTCAGTTTGGGATATTATTAGGGGTCCACTAGATGGATTCCCGAGTTGTTAATTAATGAAGGTTTTAGATTATTGGATTTCAATTATGTTTTTGAGGATTTTTTAATTTAGAATTCTTTCAGCGTTTATTATTTAATTCCTATTATTCTTTTGTATTCTGTGTTCAATTACATATTAATTATTTGGTATCCCTTAGATCTGTGCTCGGAATTGATCACCCGTGGCTCTAGAATCGAGGGGTATCACATGCTCCAATCCTTCCAAAGTGTGACTGCGTTTACTTCTGTTCTTTAATCGTCTAAACTCAATTATAGATCAATTAAATCATGCTGATCATCCGGAATATCTAAATCTTCAATATAGCTCTAATTCCGATGAAATAGAGAACAACACAACCAAATCACTTATGAATATATATGTGTGCTCTCAAAAATAAATTCAGAACAATCAGATTTGATTTTCTAAATTTTTCTCTCTCTGAAGGCTCTCTCAAAATATAGAATATTTTCCTAAAGCCATGAATAAACCAATGTCTATGACATGGTTTATATAGAGTCTTGAAAGTCCTAATCTCTTAGAAAATATGATAAATTTCGTGCATAGGATTTGGAAGGAAGTTGGAATCGAAAAGGAAACTTTCAGCGAAAAGGAAACTAAAATCCAAGTGCTGCTAGCAGACCTTGAACTAGTTCAGAGGGGCTGAACCGGTTCAAGATGGCCAGTAAAGAATCCCACGAATTCTTGAACTGGTTCAGCCTCCTTGAACCAGTTCAAGATGGCCAATCTTGAAACTTAGGCAATTCAACTTCTTCCGAACCTTTCAAAACCCTTCCTAAATGTTCTCACTACCTCTCAAACTTCTTAGAACATTGTTCTCATCATCTCGGAGTGTAGTATATCATAAACACTTGACCTTCTTCAAATCCGCATCTGATCTTCAATCTTCGAAATTTTGAATTGAAAAATTATAACTCAATCGGACCTTTTTTTACAATGAAATTAGCCAATTACAAAATATATATCTCACAATCTCCCCCTTTGGCAATTTTGTGACAAAACTCTAAAAACAATTCAGCAATCTACCCAAGGAGGAAAGTAAATTACTTAGAATGTTTAAGGAAATAAAACACGAAAATTTTCTTGAATCTCATGAAGCTTCAACACATGTAGCAACCTGTAATTTGCACATTAGCTCAAACATAACTACCTGTGAAGCTTAATCAAGAAAATAAAAACAAGCATAAAATAGCAAAGCTAAAAATGCCTGAATGTCAATGCAAGGTAATGCAATGAACAATGGTTCTCCTCCTCAATGCAAAAAGTTCTCCCTCTTAATGCAAAAGAATCTCTCCCCCTGAATGATAAGACTCTAAACTCTCTCCCCCTTTTGTCACAAATTAACAAGGGTCTCAAGGAAGAAAAATCCTAGAAGTAGGAAGCAACCAACTAGATAAATCTTGTAAGTTGAAATCATTGAGAATGTTGACTCCACAAGATTATATGTATCAACAGAAATAACCAAGATCAATTCTTTTAAATTCCACAAACTTAGTAAGTGTAGTAAAATCACCACCAAGTTCCAAAAATATATAATCTGTCAATTATTCAGATTTCAGATAATAAATCAATGATATCACATCTCCTTAGAAATCAAACAATCAACATATGCAAAAGACATTTTTTTTATCTCTCTTTGTGCTCCATTGTTCTTTTTGCACATTGGCGGCTTTCACACTTATGGGCAGCCAGCTCTTTCCCTTATTCCCATTTGTTTCGAGTCAAGGTAGCTTTCAGACCAATCTCAAAGGTAGCCTTTTCCATCTCACCTTTTTCTATACAGCAAATATTTTTCTTTCTTTTTCAAAAACTGTTTCATTCCAAGCTATTTTTCAATTTTCTTTTTCTTTTCACTCTTTTGGTCTAAAACACATAAAGCAAGTTTAAATCCTAAGACAATGATCAATTATATCAACATTATCTTTGACCAAAACAATGACATCTCAAGTAAATGTACTATTAATGATTCATTTACTATATGAAATAAGTAAGCAAAACCAAGTTCATCCGATCATAGCCATTGTATGCTTTCCACAGATAATCCATGTGTCATTAATGTCCTTATGTTCAATATACTCAATCAATATGGTTTACTTAACTTCTCAAAAACATAATCTAGACTCTCAAGATATGCATGAAGATCCTTTCTAAACTGTGTCTTTGCACTACATCTAATCATGACAACAGACACCAATAGATTTCCTAAAATGAGAAAACTTAGGAGCATCTAATGGTTTAGTGAGAATATCAGCCAAATTCTGATCAGTATGCACTTTTTCCAAAGACACGACATTTTGTTCAACAAGTTCTCTAAGAAAGTGATGTCGAATGTCAATGTGTTTAGTCATGGAATGCAAAACTGGATTCTGTGAAATATTAATTGTACTAGTATTATCACAAAAGATAGTAATAGTACATTAATCAACTCCATAATCCAGAAGCATTTGTTTCATCCAAAGCAATTGTGTGCAACAAGTTCTAGCAGCAATGTATTCAGCTTCACAAGATGATAAAGATATGTAATTTTGCTTCTTGCTGTACCATGAAACAAGGTTAGTACCAACATAGAAACAACCACCTAAAGTACTCTTTCTATCATCCTTGTTACCAGCCCAATCAATATTAGTATAGCCTGCAATCTCAAAGTTAGACTCAGAAAAATAACGCAATCTATAATTCAATGTACTATTGACATAACGAATAATGCGCTTGACTGCAAGAATGTGTTGTTCTCTAGGATCAGCTTGATACCTAGCACAAACACCTACACTAAATGAAATATCTGGCCTAGTTGCTGCCAAATATAACAACCTACCAGTCATACTCCTATACAAGAAATGATCAACCTTGTTAGGATCAGAGTCTCTATCTAATTTGGATGAAGTACTCATAGGAGTTTGAATATGCTTTGAATCTTTCATACCAAACTTCTTAACTAGCTCCTTTGCATACTTTGATTGAGATATGAAAATCCCATCATCAAGTTGTTTCACTTGAAGACCTAGAAAGAAATTTCAAAAGTTTTACTCATATTTTTAGAAAAAGTGTGAACAAGATTATCACATGTAGCACCAAAAACAATATCATCCACATATATTTGAGCAATAAGAAATTTTTTTCCTTTCCTGAAAATAAACAATGTTTTATCCCTCCTCCTCTTCTGAAGCCCTTATGTAATAGATAAGATGTTAACTTCTCATACCATGCTCTAGGTGCTTGCTTTAAATCATAAAGAGCCTTTTTAAGATGAAAAACAAAATCAGGTTTATGTGGATCAATAAAACCTTTTGGTTGTGCTACATAAACTTCTTCCTGCAAAATACCATTTAGAAAAGCACTTTTAACATCCATTTGAAACAATTTAAATTTAAAGTGACATGCAAGAGCAAAAAGAAGTCGAATAGACTCAAGTCTAGCAACAGGTGCAAAAGTCTCATCAAAATCAATTCCTTCAACTTGAGTGTATCCTTGTGCAACTAATCTAGCTTTATTTCTCATCACAAGACCATGTTCATCAAGTTTATTTTTAAAGATCCATTTGGTCCCTATGATATTAACATCACTAGGTCGAGGCACTAGTTCCCAAACATCATTCTTCACAAATTGAAGCAATTCTTCTTGCATAGCCATAAGCCAATCAGAACTTTGAAGAGCTTCGTCAACATTCTTAGGTTCAAACTGAGCTATGTGACATGAGTGAATAATATCATTTACAATGCATGAGTATCCTACATCATCACGGACTGTACTCCTGGTACCATGCTTATTTCATGGACCTATCACGTTGTCAATTGGATGACTCAATCTAACTCTAAAACTGCTAGATGTGGGAATATCTAGAGATGGTGCAGGAACTCCTATAGGTTCATCAGTGGTAACCTCTAATTCCTCATCCTCATCTTCTTCACCCTCTTCACTTTCTCCACCTTTTTCACCACAAAAATGACATGTTGAAATAAGTTTAGGAGAATTAGAAATAACACAAGGCTTGGTTTCAACTTCCACAAAAACATCCTTCAATTTTTGAAAATACAAATCCTTTAAAGTTGATGCCAAATCTTTGTTACTCATAACATTCTCAACCACTCCTTTCAACTTATCAATTTTGCAAGTGTCAATATCAATTTTATAAAAAGACTGTTTTGATTTAACAAATTTACTACTCAAATTATCAATTTTAAGTTCCAGTGATTTATTAAACAAATTTACCTTCTTAAGTTCCTTTTCCAGAAAATCAATCTTATGAATAAGATCCAAATTTTTATAGCCAATTTCTTCCAAATTTTTATTAGAGACAGAAACTTCTTACTTATAAATATCTCTATCAAGTTCCGCAAGATTCAATTTCTCTAACAAATTTTCAAAATCCTTTTTGAACTTAGACCACTTAATTTGCATGCTTGTGACAGAATCAAAAACAGGAGTCAAAAGCAACACATCAACAGATGAATTTTCAAACATGATACAAAAATCAACAACTATGATCTACTCTGTATATCGAGTATCCCGCTTTGATACCAAATTGTGAAACAAGAGTTATGTAGGGTGCGGAAACAGATAGTTGATTTTAATTATAATTAACTCTTTTAATGACCTAGATCTAATTATTAGGTTAACTTGCTTAATTTATGATGGATTATATTATATGACCAATTTAAACATCCATAATCACAAATATATAAAGAGTAAAACAAGTTAGAGTCAGAGAGATTGCACCAGGATTTTAACGAGGAAACCCCAGTTGATAAAATACGTTAACTGTTATGGGAAAAACCTCGTGGACTGTGCAATCTAAAGTAAACCAATCCACTATGTTTGAAACAAAGTATATCGAACTTTGACTCTGGCTCAGACCCTATCGTTCTACACCACACCAACCGCTAACGATCCTATGGCTTTACAACTCCCCGTCCAATAGCAACTTAACCTCAGGCTTACACTTGATATTTGTAGAAGAGTCACAGGTGATCAGATAGAACTCTGTGAATGCTCCAATCCTTCCAAAGTGTGACTGTATTTACTTCTGATCTTTAATTGTCTGAACTCAATTGTGGAAGAATTAAATCATGCTGATCATCCGGAATATCTAAATCTTCAATACAGCTCCAATTCCGATGAAATAGATAACAACACAACTAAATCACTCATAAATATATATGTGTGCTCTCAAAAATAAATTCAGAACAATCAGATTTGATTTTCTGAATTTTTCTCTTTGAAAGCTCTCTCAAAATATAAAATTTTTTCCTAAAGTCATGAATAAACTAATGTATATGACATGGATTATATAGAGTATTGAAAGTCCTAATTCCTCAGAAAATATGATAAATTTCGTGCATAGGATTTGGAAGGAAGTTGTAACAGCCCTGATTTTTAGGCCAGCGCGTCCTGTGATGAACCGAACGTAGATCCGATAACGAATCCAGAATGCGGAAGCAAGAAACAAGACAACGGTCTCCCAAGGCACAACATACCTCTAAGACACTTTGATGACCTTCCATGAGGTAATGGAACTCAATGAGAACTGACGCGGAAGCAAAAGATCAAAAATATGACAAATAAGGCCCCAAGGGGCAAAATAGTCATTTTACATGGAAATGATGTCACTAGAATGTATATTATTCCCGAGACACATCTATGACTTCCCGTGAAGTCACGGAATTCAAAAGAAAGTAGCGGAAGCGAATTACAAGAAAACCGGACAAAAATAGCCCCAATGGCAAAATGGTCATTTCTGAAAAATATAAAATCGGATACTACCGAGCACACCACTGGGAAGACAACGAAAAATTAATCAAGTTAGACTCAAGAATCACTTGATTCGGAGTCCGGATGGATGAGAAAAGTCAAAACAAAGTTTTGACATCGCCGCGGCCGTGAATAGTAACCTGAGCAAAATGCTGGAATTCGTGTGCCGTTTTGAGGCACTAAACGACATTTTCTAGAAAAACACGATGAAGAAACCCCCCTCCAAATAATTTTTCCAAGCTAAACATGCCAAAAGAAAATTTTATTTTTGAACTGAAATCCCCAAAATGCCCTTACAACAGACTTTTTCAAATAGTGCAGATGCGCACAGGAAATCAGATTTGACACTAGGTTTTCGGGTCCGAGATGACATTTTCTGGAAAAATGTTGTGAAGAAACCCCCCTTAAAATCACATTTTCTATGTGACCATGTTAAGACTGGAATTTATTTTGAAAGTAAATTCCCGAAATGCCCCTAGATCAGTCTAGACCAAGAGGGTTAAAAGCTGCTACAGAATCTGTCCGCAACTGAGAGCAGAAACGGGCTAGTAGATGAATTTTTCTGGAAAAACACAAAGGAGAAACCCCTCCCGAAATCAAATTTTCTACCCGGCCATGTAAGAGAAAATGAAAAAAAAACTCACTATGAAATGGCCAAAATGCCCCTCGATGAAATCTGGTCATGAGGGTCCAAAAAGCTGCTAAATGAAAAACATAAAGCTAAACTTTACGATGGATTTCCGGCACCAAGACAACTTTTTTTGGAAAAATACGAAGAAGAAACCCCCCCTAAAATTACATTTTCTAAGTGACGATGTGAAGATCGGAATTTATTTCAGGAAGGAAAACCCCAAAATGCCCTTAAATCGGTTTAGGCAACAAAAATGTGAAATAAGTCCGTAGAAGGCTCAAAACACAAATGAGAGGGTTTTTCACGAAAACAATCATGCACACAAACGTAAATGGTGATTTTGAGCGCGCGAGAATGGTCCGTGGCTCCCGAAAATGGCCGAGTCAAAATTTGACCCCCCAACGGCCAAAAATGCAAAAATGGACTTGAAATGGAAAATTTGAAATCCAAAATTTACAAATGATTTCAAATGACCATTGGTCCTTGGCCACACTTCATCTATGATAAATGAACCCTAGTGGACATGCCGGAACACACTTTACGCCACCCGATTTGAAAATGAACCCTTAAAGGCTCAAATTTTACTATTTTAGCCCAAAAATGCAATATGTGAAACAAGAATACAAAAGTGAAAACAAAATGGTGTTTGGCCCTTGGCCACACCTCATACATGGTAAATGAATGCTAAATAATGAATTTCATACATAAAGCACACTCCGGTGCAAAATTACATACTAAAACGCATGCTTTTTCATATATTCTCATTAAAGGCAAAATACAACTATTATGAATAAACATGAACTTCAAATAAAATTTGGCCCTTAGCCTTATATCATATACATAAAATGAGAATCAAAAAGTGTGCTTAGGCACACATTACAAGTTTAGAATCAAATATACTCATTTGACAAATAAGGCTACAAAATGGCATTCCATGCTAACATTTGCATGAAATGGAAACTTGAAATCTACAAGCCATCCAAGGAGCAATAAGCATCACGAACCAAGTCCTTGTACCTGAACAAATCCCCCAGTAACTTCGGGGTGACTAAACAAGTTTACTCGTAGAGAATGAGCATGCATAGACTCGATTTCTTTCAGATTCTTAGACTAACATGAAACAATTCAAAATGGGTCATGCCACCTAACGTCTATTTCAAGATAAGACTCAGGGAGCATCCTAAGCTACCCTAGATCATTTCTGGCATAATCACATTGTTCATGCAATTCAAACACATGGAAACATGTTATACAAAGCAACAAGATATAGATTACCAAAGTATCGACTTGAAATCTAAAAATACAAAAACAACTAAAGTGGTTCATGCCACCTAACGTCTATGTCCCAATGAATCTATAAGATCATTCCTAAGTTACATTTGAACATCAAAACACAAATCATGATATCGATGCAATTTAACCAACATTGGAACTTCCAATACAACGCATAAGGCATAATTCCTCTAAGTTAACATCTTGAAACTTAGAACAAGAAAACCAATTAAAGAATAATAAGTTATAATATAATCTAGTTATCAACTTGAAATGAAATGCGAAATCAACCAAAGTGGATACTTGGACGTCACGCCGGATCAAATCGACACCGTAGTTACTTTAGGGTTACTAGCCCATGGTAAACCTCCCTATGTGCGCACTAGACTGTAGAGGGACAATCCCCCGTACTAGAACCATGTCCTAGGCGTAGTCAAACAATGACATCCGCAAGTTTCCAAAATCAACAAGTTGTGCTACAACGTATATATCAATATGTATATACAAGATATTAACTGTCTACCATGCACAACCAAATTTAGAAACTCATATAATACATGCTCTAAGTTCACAACTACTAAAGTATGACAAATGTCGAATCTTCAATGTGCGATTCGTTACACGCTATAACAAAATATCTCAACATTGAAATCATAAACTTATGAATCTAATACAAGTCCAAAATCATGTTTTAAACATACTATTAATGTCAAATACATGATTATATCATTAATGCAATAGAAACAGAAATTAAGCAAATTAATTAATTAATTCCCTTAGGTTTCAATTCTTAACTAAATGATCCCTAATTAACACATGTTAAATAATACAGCATGGTCATTACATATACCAAAATCAAAACTTAATTAGTTCATTGAAACAATAAGATATAATTTAATTAAAACATGATAATTAAATCTCTAACTCCTAAAACAACTTCAAATGGCCCCAAATTAATATATGCTAGTGTACAAGTCATTCCCATCACAAATATCAAGTTAAAAACTTAATTAAACCAATGGAACCATTAAATAGATTTTAATTAATCCTTTTAATTAAAATCTCTAAATTTTCAAACTTATCCAAATGCTCCAAAATTAAAATATGTTAAAGAGTATGCCAAGACTTAATTTAATACCCTATCACAAGTTAATTTCATACAAGGTATGACCATGGGAATTAATCTTTCACAAAAGAAAAATATTAAATAAAAGTTGCAATACTTTATCAAATACTCCAATTTTAATATATGTTAACAAACATACCAAAGCCTAATTTACTAGCATGCCACAATTTAATTCTAAGTTGAATATCATCATGTGAATTAAATCTTAAATATAGAAATTAATTAAATTAAATTAAATTCTAGATTATGAACAAAAGCATGCATACAAGTTGTATAAGCATCAATAGCATGCAA